CGCAGTGGTGGACCGTGATGCACCGAAGTGGTTGTTATAACTTCATGGCTACGAATGTGAAGTGGAGGAAGTCTCTTTCTCTCCATCCTGCTCCACATATTCTGCGAGGACGTTAGTTTATAACTTCCATATATATACATATAGTGGTAGGGGGCAGTCACCGATCGTTCTTAGGGAACTCACTCGTTCCGTTGTGCCTTATGGGCTCTCTCGAACCCAACCAGCAGCCGCACAGCGGTGCATGATATAGGCAGAAGGTTATTACCGACAAAGACAAGGGAGACTGGAATGGCCATTTCTGACTAATTGGTCGTCGTCAGCCAACCATACCCAAGCCCGAAGTGTGGAACACCGGAGGTTCGAAATCGCAACCTGTTAGTTAGAAGTCCACATCTCTAACCACTGAACCACGAGTCCTCTGTCCTGTCGGTTTCGATCTGGAATATACAATGGTTAATTGATTTCTTAATAGATTGACCATTGTTGCCGACGATGTCCACTCTGTGTTCAACTGTAAGGTGAAGCAGGAACGGTGACTTTGCGTGAATAAGTTTATGGTGGTGGGCTTGCACAGCATGTACCACACCCCCACTTCTCCCACCTGGACCCGGTGTCCAGACACAGTCAAGAAAGCTAGACTAAGATGCAAGTGGATAGCACACTCGGGCCCTCACTTTGACGCTCCACTCCACACCCTCTGGTCCACACGGCAAGTGACCAGGATTTTATCCAGCGGCAGGGGCCCCAACGTGCACGGTATCAGTCGGAAACTGGGTCTGTCACCACGCCCCAAAATGTTGGCATTTGTTGAGATGCACATTCCGATAACGCCTCCCAGAATCCGATATAGCCCCCCCCCCACCAGCGCATCTACCACGTGGCCCGTTTGGTTGGCACAATTACGTTTCGCAGAGAGAACGAGATATATATCAGTTCATTTCAATGATGAGATCGGTTGAAAACGTCGCCTGAATGCCACAGGGTAGTTCACGCTCAGGAAAAATACCCAATTTTGTTATTGTCAAAATTTCGGTTTAGAGTGTAGGCGGCCAGATAAACAGTGCGTTTGCCTGACAGTCTTTGACCTTTACTAAGGATTTCGGTAAGATGTGTTTTGTTAGCCCCATCTGATAGGCACTCTTCTGCTAGGTTCGAAGTTAAGGGTTAGGGGCTTTAGTTAGGGGTTATGGTTAGGTGGTAGGGTTTAGGAGTAGGGGGTATAGTTAGGGGTTAGAGTTAGTGTGATGAGTTAGCGCAGCTACAACCGAACATTCGCAATGGCTTTTCTTTTTCATCCAGCTACTTGACCTCGTCGCCTGTGCGTTCCCCGGCCCCACCTGTAAAAACCCCTACTACCAATGATCGCATATTATAGATCACGGGAGTTTGTTTACGTCAGCTGGGGCTACCAGAGCAAATCTGACCAGAATATCTTAATATCTAGGAAGTCTAGGTAGCGCATGTGGTCAACGGCTCCACAGGTTCGGGCTTCCAAAATGCTGTCTGCGTTGGTGAGGGGGAAGGAGTCTGGTTGGGGTTGGCTGCCCTGATGTAAACGTTACCTCCTGACCTCGAAAGGGTGAAACGCTCATTATGCAAAATAGTAGTCGATTTGTTTGGGCGAGTCATATGACACCGCGCCACACATGGTTATCGCTCGAAAAAGTCAGCAAGTCACAAAGTCTGTCGCGGAACTGCTCCAGTCAACTTCTCGCCGTCTTTAAGCCGTATCACCTGTGCACTGGCATATTAATTAATTTTTTTAAAAGCGCGAAAGCATCGTAATGCGAGGTCCAGCCATAAAAGTTTGCGGCACAAACAACAATGTCTCGACATGGTGCCAAAGAGGCCGCCTGAGGAGGGCTTCATTGGCCTTCACTTCATGGCAGGATGGAGAAGCCTGCAGTTAGCTCTCCTAACATTCATCAGGGTGGGAGAGATTAAAGATGCATGCCCTAATGGAGCTGAGTGAAATCGGAGTGTTCCGATATTGACAGCCAACCGGCGGTTCCATTCTAGATGTAGGTTTACCGCAGTGCCTTACCGAGGAACATTTACTTACTCATCCAAACGGAATTCAAGTTTTGGTCAAGGGGTTCGGGTTCACGGCTTTTACTGTAGCTTCAAAACCCCGTAGCATGTTTTGACTTGAGAAGTCAAGTTGGCAAGCACGCGTTTTTGGTACTTCTTCGTGAGGCCAATAGAGTTACATGAAGGAATGAAAATGTACAAAAGTAAGAATGTTCCTAGGCGTTTCAGGAATTATTAAGTCATTAACACTCACGCCGCCCCCATGACGAGGTCGGCAGGTTTTGGTTCATAGAACTGAGGGAGAGGGGTAAGCGAGTCTTTGAGTGATGTTCTTGGATTGAGTGCACAGAGTACCTATCACTGCAATTAGGGATTTGAGGCGGCATGTCGTCATGGTGTGAGCTTGGCGTTGGCCACGGCAGAGAGAGCGCTTGTATCAGAGTTTTCTGACAGCATAACACCGGATTCGCTAGCCGTATAGGCACTGCCTCGGTTGATAGTAATATCCGTTGACGTAGGCCTTTAGTGAAGCTTGTGAGTGTCCGATAGAAAACCTGAAATGCTTCCTTGGCATTGACTCGGTGATCCGTATCGATCAAATGTGCGAGGACAGAACTCGAAACCGATCGGTCACACCTCTGTCTAGCCAGGCGGGCATATGATCACGCAACTTTTAACTTGCCGGTGATGTCGGGTATGGAATAAAGGGACATTCCAGTCTCACTTGTATTACTTGGTACAGCAGTCATGAGACTTTATGCTGGGACCGTGGATAGGACAACAAGGCAAATGAAACGCCTATCCATTGTCCCGGACAGAACATGTCGAGTGAAGGTCGTTCCGGTGGGGCGGAGGGAGGACTTTTATTGATTTCGAACGTTTCGACAACTTCAATTAATCTAAAAAGGATTAAATGACCTACCGGCGTCTAGACGTAGTAAACATTATGCCATAAGGACTGAGGAATCTCTCTGCCATCTTGTTAGGTGTTCAGACCCATTATGAAAACATATATGGTCTAACCTCGTATCCTTCCTTGGTGGAGTTCCCTCTGGGTGATGAGCAATTTACCATTAGGCGGAAAATATGTCCGCAAATCATAATTTGTTTTGATGCTGTTTGTCGTTGAAATATTCACTGGCCGACACGAGGGCTAGATCACCCTCCGTCCGGCGTTATCGGGAATGCGCCCATACAACAAATTTAAATGCTGAGGGTATAGAAGCAGGCCCATGCGTAGGCATACGCCACATCAATAGGAATCCCTGCCGTCTTGATTTTTGTTTTTTAAGTGTTCGTTGTGGACCAAGGGGCCTGGTGATACGCCTAGGCTCGAGTCTACGCTGCACCAGCCATCTGTGGCCTCTTCCACCTCTCGTCTCTTTGACTTTTTCGTGACACCAGATCCAGCTGAAGGAGGAGGAAGAGAGTGTGCAGTAGATTCAGCGTAAGTCCAACACCAAATAACGCAAATCACGCAAAAATCACCGTCCCTCTTCTATCTTTTCCACCGGGCATACGGTGTCCATCGTCGGCTACGAAGCTTGAACTGTCGTGCCAACACACACACACACACGACAGATTGACCGTCGATTTCGACGATGTCCACCGTGTGCCCCACAGCTGCAGCAGCGGTGGGAGCAGGGACGGTGACATGCGCAGGGGTTTATAGTGCCGGTAGACTTACGCTGCATGTACCTACACTCTCTCCTCCTCCCCGTCTGGGCCCGGTGTCAAGACAGAGTCAAGAAGATCGAAGAGGGGGGAGGCCGCAGGTGGATGGCTCGGACGGATCCTCACTTTGGCGTTCCACCACACCCCCTGGTCCACACAACAAACAACCAGGATATCATCAACACAACAGAGATTGAAGGCTGGTACGGCCGAAACCGCACCTAGGCGTGCCGCCAACGCCTGGCTCGGATCCCACACTGTGATGGGAGTGTCATAAAGGCCACATTAAGATGGAGCCATTGCAGCCTGATTCTAAGACCGCCTCTAGTCAAGGAGGAGGTCCAAGTTATCCCGTCAGTCGGCAACCTTCCAAGCCACGGCTTTTAGTACAACGTGATAGCTTCAAGCGCGTCAGATTGTTTATGGTGAGGAAAGTGCGCTGAGTCGTCGACCTCACTGTCCTTTCCCATCCCCACACCCCAGTCGCTGTCCGAGCCGGTCAGCAGACTGGAGTGGGAAATGGGCGCGGTGGCTGTCATGCTTGACTGATCATGACTGCGCGCACCACGAGTACGACCTGGACCTCCATACATACAAACACCAGGATTTCACACAACGGGGGTTGAACGGCGTGTCTCTCACTTGCGTAAGAGTGCCCTGGAAGGTGCTGCTTCGGTCCGTCCCCAGCCCACCTGTCCGCCACTACACACAGCACGCATACGACGCGACGAACTGCGTGGACCAAGTGCGGGCGTCAATCAGCAACCTTCCTATCCACGA